TTTGTTTTTGGAGAGGTTTTTGCTATAGGGCGCGTGCGCTCACCAGAAAGACAGAGAGAGACAGAGAGACAGACAGTGAGAAATCACCCCCCAGGGGGATGGCCATGCCGCAATCCCTTCTCCTCCATTCTCCTCTCGGGATCTTGGGCACGCACGCACATGCGCCCGGCGTGAGTTTAAGCCACCGGGTCCAGGACTCGAACCACGGTTGACTACATGGGAATCCAGCGACATAGCCATTACGCCAACTGCTGGTCCAGAGATGTCTTTTTTCCTTTTCTCTATGCAGGTTTTTATCAAGAGACACCAAGCAGGTCTTCCACTCTCAGCTCTCTAACTGCAAAAGGTGAGATGGACCCTTTCTCCCCTCCCTAAGACTTCCACTCCACCTGTCCCACCGTAGGGCCTCAGTGTGACGGAGCCTGGAGCTTCTCTGGGACCGTCACTAAGTCCTTGCCAGAGTGGCTCTCGGACGTTGGTCCTCGGACAGTGTCTCTGGGGAGATAAGCGAGGGGGAGCACCCGTGGAGAATGTCCGGGTCTTCCCCTCCTGCTGGTCTGTGACCTGGCAGGGCCGCCTGGGCCTGTGCGTTCTGTCTCCCCGACTTCGCCGCAGGTGAGAACCGTGGCCCGGGTCCCCTCTCAGGGCGCTCTGCCTCTTTACAGCTGGAGGCCCTTCCCTGACATGGGCAGAGCCGCCTAGCGCCTGCGTGCGCGTGTGCCATGAACGACGCCAAGAGCAACCGGGAGCTGTACCAGCAGTACACGGCCATGGCCCCCAGGCTGTTGGCCCACATCACCAAGCTCCTCATGGTCTGCCGGCACTCGGGCATCGCTGTCCCCAAGGGCATCAGGAACATCTTCGAGTTTACCTGGGAGGAGCTCATTACCGACCCCTCGCTGCCTACGCCGTCTGACATCCTGGGCCTGGAGATCAGCATCGGGTGTCCCCCCGTGGTGGCCGTGGAGACCACCGCCCCCGCGCAGGCCCTCGCCCAGAAGAAGCCGCCCGCAGCCGCACTGCCTCCTCCTCCGCCCGCAGTGCTGGCAGCCACCGGCGCGGGCAGGCACACCAGGCCCTCTCCCCCCCAG